GATACTTACCTCATCTCACAAAAAGATTTCTCAACTTATACTGCCCTGTGTATGTGTAAATCTTTGCTCGCCACCTACCCTCCCATGTATTCATACGAGACATCTGCATGCTATCGTGTAAATGATCATGCAGCAACCCTTCACCAATAGGAGTGTGACACAACTCCTATCGTCACTAGTGTCCTCTCTTCCATGCAGCCTGAAATCACTTCGAGATTGGGCTGTATATACAAAACCAACTCTGAAAGTGGGGAGGATGGGTAGGAAATGTGAGCCAAAGTATTTATTGGAAATACATTTTCAGTTTAGGAAAAGGTTAAATTCCAATATATCTTACATTCTCTCACAAATAGCTTGAATACTACACTGAGTTGGTAGATGGTCCTGTGAAAAAATGATACTCCTTCTGAAAGAAGACCATGGAGAGTGTGATAAATGGAAGCCAACACTCCCATGGGAGACTGCGCCACTCCTGAGCCAGGAATACACTTTGCCCACATGAAATTGTGTCTCAATATGGGCAGAAACAATGGAGGGACCTCCACAGCTTAAACATGTGTGCACTTCCAATATGACCATCACCACATCCACTGGGAACTGATGGTAAGAAGTGGACAGCAAAGTGAGGGTGCATCAACAGACAGCATTTGGAATATATCATCCAGTCCACAGTAGGAGAAGGGTACCTGGCCACGCATGTGAAATACAGGGACCTCCAGTGTAGAGTGGCTAGGGTGCATAAGACCATAAATGGAAGATTGACCTCAACCAACACTGGATGAACTGTGATAGGAATCTTCAGCCCACAGTAAGAAGAGGGTCCTCTACCTTTCACCTCTGATATGTGAACTGATAGGGAGAATGAGCCTCTGTGCCATGGATCTGCATCATGTGTGCACATCCAACACAACCAGCACCATATTTGCTGGGAATTGACACCCTGAGGATGGTAAGAAGGTAGATAGCAAAGTGGGGTGCATCTCTTACCTATCACCATGCAGCATTGGGAATGCATCAACCAAGCCGTGGTAGGAGAAGAGTACCCGGCGAGAACTTATGTGGCTGGTCCAGCTCAAATCATCATCATGTCAGCCAGGAACCAATATCCAAAGGATGGTAGCAAGGGGGTGCCTCAACCAGAGAGGCAAACTGCATTTTGGCAGAATGCATCATCTAACACCTGATGGCATCTGGAGTTGTACATCAGGTCCACAGTTGGATGAGTATCAATGCCATCTACACTGCAAGAACACCACTGCCCTACTCTCAACTCAGAGAGATTAAGTATACTCAGGAGGAAGCCTCTATGGTTCACAATCACAGAGACTAGGAACTGTTAAGTAGCAAGGACTCCCACACTCCACAAGAAAAAAGGGGAAAACAGCATTTTGAAGAATCTGGAGGAACTCTGCACCAGAGACAGTGCAATGGGTGAATGAGATATCTTATTTTGAAAAGCTATCCAAACCTGTGATCTATAATACACAGATCATCTGGGATGGGCAGTAATCCCTTTCTGCTTTACTCATGTTAGTCAATGAGTGTATGGTCCGGGATGAACATCTTTATGAAGCAAGATATGACTGAGCATGCCCACAAGCAGTCTTGCAGACCACCCCATCTCAACAGTGGTGTATATGACACAGTTCTTACAGTGCAGATTTAAGAATAAGTATGCCTTATCAGGCAACACTTGCCACTGAGTGGGATACTAAGCAACAAAGGTAGCTGCAAAGAAAATGAAGAAAAAGGAGCACCTACCCACTCAAAGAGACATTAAGGAGTGCAAAATGGCAATAGGAGGAAGATGAAACCCTATAGAAAAAGAAATGGCTAGGTGGTGAAAATAATGAGCAGTAAAGGTATAGAGAATGGTACACATACTGGCACCAATTGATGAAGGAAATGAGCAGCCAGGGTAAGGTGACAAATTTGATAAGACAACATTCCTCAGGAGATAGGGAAGAATAAGCCAGGTGAATCAACTGGCGAATCTAACCTCGGGGGGGGGCGATGAATAGCCTCAGACAACAGGTGTAGGGAGGACAAGGAATTGAAAAGGGTGAACCAAGTGATACAAATAAGGGGAAACAGAAGCTGGAAAAAGAAAACCAAAGTATTGGGGTCAGATCCCCACAAAGGGACAAGTGATTCCAAATGCTGCAAGTTTAGAAAGAGAAGATCAGAATTATGATATGCCAGAGCATGGTTTACCTGAGCACATAGGGTTCAAGGCATACTGACACTTGAATGAAAGTGGTCCCCAAACAACTCTCATGAACCCCAACATCTGGAGAGGAAGCAAACACTACTGACCCAAAGGCTTGTCACTGAGAAGGGCAGAAGTAGAATCATAGGAAATGGGAGATAAGGATAAAACATAACAAATCTGATTGATTAATTCAAGAAATGGGGAAGGAGGTCTGGGCACATCCCCTAAAATGACTGTGAGGCATAAGCAGGAGGGAGAAACAGGCTGTCTAAATCCTCAATGTCATGTTCAGGCAAACCCTCGCCTGGTATGTGAGGACAATCACCACATGATTCAGAAGACTGCATAAAGGTATCTAGCTCCTTATGAACTAGAGCCATTACTTCTTAAGCAGATCAAGCTTGCTCAGCCACCATTGAAATGGCCGGCAAATCAGTTGTAGTAGTGGCAGTAGCTGTGGCAGATTCCATGTGGACTTGCAAGTGCATGACCAGTAGAGTTGACCAATAAAAAAATAAATAAAAATTTGTTCTTCACCTCTGTTCTAAAACCATTAAAAATCAAAAAATTGGTGAAAAAAAATTATGCACAATCTAATAATCACCATGAAACTTGATCAATTAAGACTTAAATATTTAGTCAGAAAACATGTTTTAAAAGTTAGACTGCCAATCAAGAAGTGGTTTCAGGCTGCACTGAAGAGAGGGTGCTAGTGACAATAGGAGTTGGTTGTGGAGCATTGCTGCACCGTCATTTACATGATATCATGTAGATGTCTGTCTCACGTGAATACACATGAGGGTAGATAGGAATATAAAGCAAATAGCAAGCAAAAACTTGCACACATAGAGGGCAGTATATGTCAAGAAAAGCTATTTGTTAGCAGACGTAAGATAACATATCAGAATGCATAGTTTTCTGACAGCTCTATGAAAACACAAGTCATACAGAGTATCCTGATATACCTTGACCATACCTAAGCGTCTAACTCTGGGTGTTGACAAAACAACACAAGCTCCATTTTGATAGTATGGTGTTTTCAGTGTAAACTTCCAAATATATTGCCATATTTGATCGTCTCAGCTTCAATTTTTGCCATGCTGTTCATTGACATACTGACAATTGGTCAAAGATATCTGGTACCCCTGCAGGATCACAATTTTTATCTTGGAAATTTATAGAAGTTTGTACTGATGAAGGTGACCTGCCTCTAATTGTTTGAAAACTTACTCAACTAAATGTTTGTGGGACTTATTAGCCACCCTACAATCAAAAAAAGGGCCTCAATTTCCTTTTTATGTGGACCAATATTTTTTGTACCAAACTGAGCACTGCATTTTGGATGCCTAACCCATCCAATCATCTGTATTTTAGAAGTTTGAAATGTCAGCAATGCTAACCAAATGAATGTGACACATAAATGGCCATGCTTATACTTTCTTGTACATGTCATATATCTATTTCTAATATACTAACACACTTCTGATCATAATACATCATATGTATACCAAAATACTAACAATCAAAATTATTTTTCATGCTTCTTCAAGAAATGTTAATAGTATTGTAACTTAAAGATGGTATACATGATTTTTAATCTGAAAGTCGATTTATATTAGTATATATATATATAAAGCACAAAAATCTGTATGTTTGTCCCTTCTCTAAATACTTCTAGGTCGCTGGGCCAATCTCAGCCAAATTTTGTGGGATGATAGTTTAGAAAAAGGGGCATGTTAATGGAGGGTTCACAATCCCCTCCATCCTTCTTTATTTCTGTTATTGAGCAGTTATTATCTTTGATGTAAGTTAACATTAAGTAAATTCATATATAGTGCCACATCCTTAAACCAAAAAAAAAACATTATTAAATTTTCTATAGCACAACATACACACAGTGTGGAGGAGGCCACACAAACATCTTATATATCTCAGATAGTGCATTAGGAATGCAATAAAAAAAAAAGACCAACAATACTGCAATAATACATATACTCAGCTCAAGTTTCTACTCCAACAGTCACCATAAGACTGATATGAAGAGACATTTTTTGTTATATCAACTTCCTACTTTGACTGTGACCTTTCAACTTCAGCCCATGAGACACTTCTGCAGCCAATGACTGTCTATTAATTAATCCTATGAAACACTGTGGAAGGACATTAAGAGCTGGGTGTTGAAAGCAGGTAACAGAAAGCACCCCTACCATCACTACTTTGGTTGCCACCTCTTCCTACAAAGTCACCCTGACCATCACACAGTTTATACCATTTTTAAGTATACACATATTGAGTTCTTAAAGCTTATACAATATGTCAGGCCACAGTATGGATGACTTTTCTCATGAAAATTTATAACCATTGTATCTTCATGGACAAACTTAAAGCAAGTATTATTGTGTTATGACTTAGAAGATAATACTGCTGAAACACAACACACGTATATCTATATATACAAGTTTTACGTTGGAAAATGTGTCAAAAATCCTGAAACATTAAATAACTAGTTATTATGTTATTAATTATAAAACATATTAATCTAACAGTAGTTATTATACTGCTATAAAAAGTATTCCTTCCACTTTATTGCTTTATCATAATATTTTAATAAAAATGTATTTCCAATAAACTAGTGGCACACAAACATAGCAGACTGAGTAAAATGGCTACTTAACTGATACAAAGACCAGTGTTATTTAAACACCTTACTGATATTGTCTGTTACAATACATTAACATATTAAGTAACCAAATCAAAATAACAATTTCTTTTAGCAAAAAATACTAACTTCTTCCAGTGCTTGCCAATCATAATCTTCATTCCCTCTAACCAGAGTCATCAATTCTTGAGCATGGAAAAGACCCTAGAACAAATTCTGTCATTTGTAAAATATAACCATTTAAAGGGAAATAAAAATCTAATACAACAATTTCCCCACTTATAATTTTTGCCTTTTTACAACTTGGATGTTTTTATAAACAAAATCTAATACTAATACATTCACCATATCAACTTGAAACTACATGATTAGAAAATGTGCAAATAGTTTTACTAACTCTTAATACAATTACAATGTTTTTATTTTACTTTTGAAAGACTTTTCTTTTCATAAATATATTAAAAATATTTTATGAATTAGTGTGTGTATTTATTATAGCAAAGCCACATCGGGCTATCTGCTGTGACCACTGAGGGGAATTGAACCCCTTATTTTAGCATTATAAATCCAAAGATTTACCACTGACCCACCGAGGGACTTATGAATTAGTATACCTCCTGAGATGGAATAGCATGGGGCAGTTGTTTTGTGGTGATAAACTTTATAACAAGTACACAAATATACTTACTGTAAACCACATCAAATACTTGGAGATACATGGCATAAAACAGTCTCTGTAAATGAACATGCATGCCATATACCACCCTAAGTATATATAAATGCATATCACTATGTAAGTATACATACCATGTACCACTATGTAGATATACTGATCAAACATCACTCTACGCAGATAAATATATATGCCACACATCATTATTTGTATATAGATACATACTACATACCACATGTCACCATACATGAAATAAAAGTTAGTAACATGTTACTATTTATATGTAGGTACATGTAACAAATCATTAGCATGAAGATAAATTACATATAAATTTTAGTCTGTGAAAACACTTGCCACACATCATTCTGTAGTGATGATCATATATGCAAAATGCTATTCTATGTATACAAAAACAATACTTGCAAGTATCACTGAATACAAGAAGGTATTTCTCTGAATGACTTGTTCAAGCAACAGAATGAGCATTTACATGGTTGTTGTTTTTTTTTTAACAAATCAAGTAAATTTTTTTCTATGGAACTTTACTGATTTTGACAGAACCTAAGAAATTTTGATTTATTCTTAAATATCAGTATATCAACAGTAATACAGTCCAAATGTAGATGTGAAGTCCATATCTGTCACCACAGGTAATATTTATGTAAGACTATGCTTCTTAAATATTAATGCTTCTTTGCTACTCCTGTGTGTGGCCCAGAGTGAAGTAAATGAGTGTTATGTAATTGTAGGTGCATTGTTACAAATATCACAAAATACATCATATCTGAGGAAACTCTGACCTTCGTTAGTTTCTGACAAAGGTAATAAAAGAACGCTACATATGCAGTTATTCTGGTCACACTGTATCAGATCATGAAAAGAACATTTACAACATCTCTAACAATTTACTGTTAAAATACCCTAAAATAATCATCACCATACAAGTTATGCTGCAGCAACTGAATGACTTATCTGAATGTCAACAGCAATAGCATGTAAAATGCAATAAAATACATGAAAACATGGAATTTAAGTAATGCACTGATTTAACTTACCAGCACCTTCCCTCCACACACTTTGTGGAAACCCCTCGAGAAAGCCGAAAATGGACCACTGACAGATTTATTCAGGATAAAGTCAACATACAGATTTACATATTCTTCCCTTAATCGGAAAAAAAATAAACAAAGGTCTTAGAATAAATCAGCAAATATTAGTTACTTTGTCGAAGAAACTTTAGAGAAAACTACACAATGAGCTATCTGTACTCTGTCCACTGTGGGGAATCAAGCCATAGATTTTAGCATTGTAAGTCTATGAACTTACCAGGGTGGCAATACATCAAAAGTACACTGAAAATAATAACCCCACATTTCATATCAATCAATCAATTTCAATAAGTTAAAAATAATAACAGCAGGATGAAAAGTTAAAACGGGTGCTACATCAGAAATTATTATATTGCAAATAACTGGTATAAAAATGAGATTCTACTTAAACTGGTGATATGCTATAAATCATTTATGATAAAAACAGTATTCAAATATAAATGTTATAACGCATTCACAATTTTCTGTTTGTAAACTTTTTATAATAACTCAAGTTTACATTGAACTTCTGATGACATTAATAAGCTTGAAAATCTTTCATCCTTTAAGAATAACTGTTTATTCCATTGTCATTCTTAAACTTTGTATCCAAAACTAAGTCTATCCTGATGTCATAAAAAGTTAAGAAAGTTTCTAAGAGAAATATTAATAAGTACCTATTTTCTTTTGTGACTGGTATATTCTTCCCATCAGGCTTAAGTTCATATAAAACGGGATCCCCAAATACTTCTACAGTGATCTAGTTAAAAAAACAGATGTTAGGGAAATTTTAATACAAAAATATCAATATTCAATAGTTTGAGTACATTTTGATTAGTGCTTGCATTTTTTGAAAAATCAAACTACATGAATGAACATGCATGCAAAGAATTTATTCATTACAAATTTGGTGGAACTACTATTCGTAGAAAATAGTTGTGCACTGTTATATATATTTTCCACGTTTAGGTCAAAGTTTGTTTACCACACTTTTTTTATGATGATTGTAGATTAAAGACTACATGCAGTGAATTATGGTTTGATAAATATGGTCTAGATGTTATAACTAGTCACTTTAGACCTCTATGACAGACCACTCTAAGAAACTTGTTTACTCCAATTTTTAAACACTACATTTTTAATCTAGACACTTAGGGGTCTTCAAGAATTAGAACAGTATTTAATAATATATAGTATTCCAACCACACTATATTTGTCATATTCTAATACTAATGTTTTATGACAAAAACAAATTGTAATCATTCTTCATTGGCTTGTAAAAGGCATACACACCTATAGTTGTATCTAACGGCTTATATAAATTGTATTCCAAAAACTGCTGTGTATGTTGTATCCCAGCTGGCCTTAAGAGCTCTGGATTGAGCAAAACGTGTCATTGGCAATTGATATGAGAAATATTGTATGGTTGGAATACTATTATCATACACTCTACTAATTCTTGAAAATCTCTAAGAAACTAGATTAAGAATGTTGTGTTTAAAAATGTAATAAGCCTAACACTAACATCCTATGACAAAACTGTAATCACTCTTTGCTAGGTTATAAAAGGCCTATACACCATAAAAATTTTTTACTAAAGTTCTAATTGGAACTAATGTGGAGAAAAATACAATCAGTAAAATAAAATAAAAACTTCAGTAAATGTAGATAATAAACTTAAGATAAGAAATACTGATAGTTTAGGTGTCAATAAAGAAATCTGAGAAAATGTAACAAAATCTAATTCAATGTGTGAACAACATTACAAGATGTAAAAGTTTTAAACAGGAGCCACATCAAAATAATAAAATCTTAATGTTTTTTTGGTGTAAAAAAATCACACAGGAAATGACAAAATACAATCTACAGAGAAAATGCAAAAATACTGAAAAAAGTTATTCACTAATTGACACAGTATTAAAAAAACTCAATTCACAACTAAAAAAATTTTCAAAATTATTTAAGCAAGAACAATATTATGTAGTATTTTTAACACTGAGATGAAATAAAGCAATATTTATTACACATAAAAAGTGAAGAATATCTGACCATTCTGAAACTTATAATTGTAAATTACACTGGGATAAGAGGTGATGATAATTTAAGATTAAAAACAACTTTAATGCTTTAAAGTTACAAAAAAAGGAGCAAGAAAAAGAAACATTTTGTCCTAGTTTCCAAACTGTTGTTTTAAAATCTTCAAGCTTAAAAATAATTTTTATATAACAGAAACACAGTACTAACCTCAAAATTAAGTAAAAACACATCTTCAAAGTCATCCCCTTCATATTGTAGGAGATCATGAAGACCCCTTAAAAAACAAAACACAAACTTAATAACAAAGTAATAATAGAGCTCAGATATCATTGGACTTCTGAGTTTTATTATTATGGCAATAGATATACATTTCTACTTTTCTAGAAGAATCATAAGTAATTTTTTTTTTCAAGTTTTATCCTTTTTGAAATGTTTATTCATATGAGGGCAAAAGTAAACTGCAATTTCAATTTATATTGGAGGTTTAAAAATTTATTTAAGTGAAATAAATAATAGACTTGAATATTTAGAACAGTATTTAAACATTACAACAACCTTTACTATGAACTGGGCCTTGCTAATTTTTAAACAAGTAAGCTATAATAATAAAATAAACAAATGTGGCATCATTTAAAATTATATATATATACACCTGGAAAAAAGTTAAGCACCCCCGTGTTTTTTTCAAGTGATTCAGATTCGACGTTCTTGTGACTGATTATAAATTACCATTCAATCTAAATCCCAATAATGCATAATTTCATTTGATAAACACCACAAGAAAACAAGATTATCACCGTAAATAACAATTTTTAATTTACATATCATGACATCAAAATATGGACAGTTTTCACGCTTAAAATTATCTTTAATAAGTATTGTCAGTGAAGCTCAAAAACGTTATTG